TGGGTGCTCAACCAACAACATCTTGTTTCTGACAGATGTTACTCGAGAGGCCAGTGCTGCCGAGGAAGCAGATGTGCATGTAGCTGTGGTGGTGAGGCCTGGCAATGCGGGATTGACAGATGATGAGAAGACTTACTACAGCCTTGTCACGTCCTTCAGCGAACTGCACCTGCCTTCCTCAACCTAAAGATGGCTTCTAAGGAAGACTGAACTGTTCCTCAGAGTTTTCCCCATAGTGTCTAGTTTTATTCTAATGATAAAAGTAACTTACTTAAAAAATACATATATGTACACATATATATATGCAAGTATATATATGTATATGCTCAAATTAACTTCTACAGGCACATAGGTGAAAAAAGTCTCAGTTCAGTGAAAACAAAACTTATTTAAAGATGCTTTATATGTAGAAATTGTGTGAAATCATAACTCTAACCTTTATTGAGGGCCAAGTGTATTTGGTAGAAAAAATTGCTAAAATACAGATCAGATATTAAGTTTATCAAGTCTTATATCAAAATGTAAAGCTAATTTTAAGGAATTGTTCAGAAGTCCTGTTATTTTAAAAACTGCAGATATTTCAGAGACTTATTTCTAATGATAATTAATTGCCCCGAGACAAAGGTATTTATTTCTGCTTCAAAAAAACAAAATTGGGAAAGAAAACTCACTTGAGTCTTGATCAGTCATCTATTATTTAGCAAGAAACTTTCTAGTCACTGTGTCACCCACAACAAGCAGTTGCCTTATCAGTGAAAAAGGTGCACTGACATAACAGCTAAAGTAGACATGTGGTTCTTAATGTTTAACAAAGACAGTCCTAATCCTGGCAGTTGTTAGCATTATAGATTTTATATTTGCCTTTCTAACTACTACTTAGCACAGTTTGAGAATATGTTAATTGCTATTTACTGTTAAAAAAGGTTTTACTGAAATCAGTCCATAAGATCAAGAAGAGCCCTAATATGTAATATTTTCCTCTGAACTGGATGTGAGAAAAGTAAATTTTATAACAGCATTATTTATCCTGGTTCAGCTCTAACAGTAGGATGTCATGTCAATTTCATGTTGTGATTAATAAAAGCATTTTCTTCTTCTTCAAAAAAAATAAAAATAAATGTTAAATGAAAAGAAAACACCTTAGGACAGAGCCTTGTACACGGTAGGGCATAGTTATTTCTACTGGACCGTGGTGCCTGATCTCCCAGGTGATAGCCATCCTTCTAGCCGACGCTGACCCCTGGACCTGGGTAGGCCTAATCAGCTTGCTGGTATCAAGATGACACATCAGAACATGTCATAAAAAGAGAATTTTCTTCTTGAAATCTCTAATAATAAAAGGAACCAGAAAAAGTGTGTTTTTCTCAGAGGATGAAATTGATAGTGCACAGGACTTGTTTGTACCACTGAATATATCTGCTTGTTCTTTTATGTAGGGTGCCTCTTTCTTTCCCTGATTCTGACTCTAGCATCTTTTGGTTCTAGATCTTCCTGCTGTGATTGCTTCCTGACTTCTTCTCCTGTCCCTCTGCCTCATACACACCAAACATACTTTTTCAAACAAACCAGAAAGGTTTTTTGATGGGTTGTTAAAACAGCTTAAAGGGGGAAAAAAACCCCCACAAGAAATGTCTTAAATCTCAAAGCTTAGTATTTGATGATCCATGAAAAGGAACATTCTGGAACACTTTTCTGGAATTGGATGGAGACAGGCACCGAGTCACAGGGAAGCCAGTCTGCACTTGTGTTCCTCAGATGCTCATGCATAGCACAGTCTTGGCCAAGAATTCCTTTGGACTAGCAGTGCCTTTCCCTCAAGAAACTCAGTGCGACTTCAGAGAACTCCTCAGCCTCCTATCACATGGGGGGATGGTATCTCTAGAATATCCCCAGGGAAATCAAGGCAGGCAAAGGTTGGAGACAATACGACCCAAACATAGAGTAGGTGGACAATAAATAGCTTTGATTTACTGAATGAACAATAAAAGAATTAAGGTATTTCTGCAAATCTAAATTATAACTAGGACCCATGTCCCCACTGCCTTTTCCCACTCACCAAAAGCACACACAAAAACTTAGCCTCAGTTTGAGAGATATCAGGACACACACCTACTCTGTACGATATTATACTTACTCTTTTGTTTTATGATTAGCATCTGCTTGTAACTTGAGTCATACTTGAGTCTATCTTAGGTGTGTTTTTCCTCCCTTACTACACTGCAACTAAACTCAACGTTTGCTGACAATGGCAGTCGCTGCCTGTGTGATGTAAGAACTGAACTGCATTGCCTTTGAAGCCCTTTTTATTCTTAGGAACAGTGACAGCTGCAGCAATTTTTTGGTTGCACCCTCCCTGTGCTGGGTGTCACATTAGGGCCTTTCCATACATCCTCTTACTTAGTCCTCACAACAGTCCAGCAAAACTTTATCACCATTTTACAGATGAGAAAACTAAGGACTGGAGATTTATGGAAGTTGTCAAAGCGAATCTAACCACTGCTAAAGAGATGGAGCCAGGATCTGATGCCAGGTGTGCTGGATTCCAAAGTTTATGCTTTTTTTTTTTAGTTGTCAAAGCGAATCTAACCACTGCTAAAGAGATGGAGCCAGGATCTGATGCCAGGTGTGATGGATTCCAAAGTTTATGCTTTTTTTTTTTATGACTCTGTCTTTCCTCTAGATGTCTATTGCTCGGCATATAAAACTGGCATGGTCCAATGTCATCACCAACATGGAAGAGCCTATGCGAAGTACAAACAGGCGTTTGGAAGTCCAAATCTAAACAGCAGAGGGATGAGACCTTGTCGCTTTCCTGAGCATCACTGTGCCTTGCTGAGTGTCCTTGGCTAAACCACTTTGCTTCTCTGGACATCCGCTCTCTCACTGGAACAATCAATCAACCCTGCCTCCTGGGGACAGCGTAAAGCAGAAGGAAGGCAAGAAGAGTTTTACGTATGCAGAGGGCTCAGGCAGGACCAAAAGACCTCAGAGGGAGAGGTCTTGTCTAAAGGGGCCAAGATGAGCTTTATCAGAAGGAACAGTAATAAATGAGCTTTAACAAATAAGAGATAAAAAAAAGGCCACGTTATTTTTAGAAAATAATTCATGTGGGCACTTGCTGCCTAGTTCCTTCAGTGCCAATTGAGCAGAATGTGGGTCAGGCAGAAAAGCAATTACCCTCTGAGTTAACTGGAGGGTGGTGTTGATTAGAGAATATTCCTTGTAAAATTCCATTACCTCCTTCCTTCTCTTAGAAAGGTGACTTCTCAGAGGCCATCTTCATGCAACCTTTGACTTATTTTTACTCTCTGCCCTCAGAAGAAGTCCAATCAGTCACATTTCTCTTATCTTTAGAGCTCATTCTAAGTGATTCCAGGAGATGTCAGAATTAAGTAAGATCAGGCCCAGTCTGCTTAATGCATCTTTACAGAAACCTGCACTGAATGACTCAAAAGGAGGACATGACATTCCCATCAGCAGAGTCAGACAAAGCTGAGTCTCTATGACACCCACAGGGCACAATGCCTGGCCCTGAACCTTTGATAAAAGGGTTGGCTCTTCCTAACACTTCCGAAACAATGAAGAGGTTGCCTGGCCTCAACTCTGAGATTCTGTTTTTGTGTTGCGAAAAGCCTAAAAGAAATGTTAAAAGGCCATGTAAACAAAAATATCAGTTCTACTGTTGTTGAAAAATTATCGGAAGACAAATTTTTCATCAAATTATGTGTTCTTTTTTAGATGGGTTTCCAATCTTTATTGGTCAAAATACCTGCTCTGGTCCTAAATTGCTATTTAGTTTTAAACCAGCCACTGAATCTCCATGTGACTCAGCTTTTCCTTCAGGACAATATTACTCTTCTAAGATGACACATGCTTGTCTGGAAAGCAGTGCTGATTCCCTCAAAACAAGAATGCTAGGATTGTACAAATCACTCCACCTGCAATGGGATGTGGTTGCCCCACGTGAGCCTCCCATGGAGGTGCACACAAACTCTCCCACGGGTTGGCCTGAGTTTTCTTTTCATGAACGTCTGTCCTCTTCCCCCTGATGGACTCAAAGCTCCTTGAGGACAGGAACACATTTCAAAATTCCAGTATGTTCCACGGTACTTTGCATGTTACCAGTACTCAGCAAATATCTGTTGATTATGTCTTTGAAGGGTTTATTTTTTTGTATTTATGTGTTTTTCAACTCACCTAAGATCAGGATGATGTCTTCTATCTATTAACACTTAAATGTATATGATATTAAAACATTTTTCTGACATATTTTCCATCCGTCCTCCATTTCTTTATCACTCCAGTAAGCTTGACAGGGAAGACAGAACCATGTGGATGTCATACAGATGAACCACTTCGGACCCAGAGAGGAGGCATGTGTGCTCAAAGCCTCCCAGTGGGCAGCAAAGCAAAATCAGGGCCAACTGACTGTCCATGTGCTTGCTTCCTTGCTCGCCTTTGGTACCCAGCCCCCTGCAGCAGTGAGCAGCAAGTGCTGGTTCTGATCGCACCCCATCTCTGGAGCATCAGAAGCTGCAGTGAGACATTACCTCGTGGTTAGCAAATCGGATATCCCGGGAGAATATGGTAGCCACCCAGTCACACCCTAGTTTGACATCAATGTTCTGGGCTAGTTTCTCCAGGGTGGGTAGATGGCTAGCTTGGAAGTGGTAAGCCAGGGTTACATGCAGCTGCTTCTTATGAGGCTCCACATGGACTTCTGGAAAAAGGAAGAAAAAGGTCAGTATTTAGAAAATGGTAACCATAGCAATGATGGAGACTTAATGAAGAGCAAGGTGCCCTGACAAATTCTGCTACCCAAATAACAAAGAAGAGAGTCTTGTGGTTAGACAAAAGCTGTTTCTTTTCTTCACAGCAGCAGATTAAAGGTGAGTGGGTACCAGGTCCTGAATCAACCCTCTGTGAACCACACATACAGCTCTTCTGGGGAGCTATGGATCAGCTGAGGGCAATCCTGGTGAGCAACTCCTTATTCAGTTGAGGAAACTGAGACCTAAAGGGATGAGATAATCTATGGAGAAATACAGAGCAATTGTGTAATTGTATGACTCCCAAGGCCTTCATTTTGGAATCAAGTTTCTTAGCTTCTGGGTGAGTCTGATGGAGGAACGAGGGGAAAAGATGGATATTTTTCAAAGTTCAAAGCAGGATTTCTCAACAGCATTTTGGGTTGAATAATTAGCTGTTGTGGGGGGCTGTCTTGTGCATTGTAGGGCATTTAGCAGCATCCCCGGTCTCTACCCACTAGATGCCAGTAGCACCCCGAACCGAGAATGACTCTCCACATTGCTGAATGTCCCTTGTGGGGCAAAATCTCCCCTGGTTGAGAACCATCTGGTATAAAGTATGCAGATTGTTATCCTAAGACACTCTAAAAAACAAAACAAAACCAACCTGCCTACATGAGGAAATTCCTTTCATTTCTCTTTTGTATTTTTAAATAAGGGAGACTCATCTACTGCTCAGGCTAGAATAATGACAATGATACAACGATAAGCAGTTAGGGAGTTCAAGAAATTGAGAGGCTTGGTCAAGTCACACAGAGAGTTTGGGGCCAAGATAGAACCAGAGTTGGGTATTTAGGGTTTTGGTACTTCCTCTGTTATACTGCATTGCATTTGTTTGGTGTAAGCCCCATGAGACAAGGTATTTGTCTCTTGTCCACACTGTATCCCTGCTCACCATATTATTTAGGTTTTTGGTCCTTGTTAAATGAATGAGTGCACATGGATGAATCTCCTTAAACCACCTACACTGAAGGATGACACTAAAGCTGCTTGCTGGAGGAATCTGGCTCTGCCAACAACTCTAGAACACCAAGGCATAACATCCAGGGCAAAGATGATGATGGCCTGCTTCTATGGTAAGAAGGAGCTGGACCAGCTACACCTGGCAGGGCCACCCAGTTCGCCAGATCACCACCAGGGGGCCACACAAGGACAGAGAAAAGAAGTGACAGTAGATCTTCCAAGAGGGACAGTCTCTCCCCACTTCCTATGTGGGAAGCTGGGACCCCGTAGACTGCCTCTCACTCAACACGTGCTCTAAGAATCTGCCGCAGTCCTGGCTGAGCCCCGCTTTCCTCATTTGTGAAGGATTTGGGTTTTGCGGCTACAGCATTAGGGTTGGTTCTTGTGGGGATTTAGTGGTTCTGACAATAGCTACTGTGGGATGATAAAAAAAAAAGCCATTTCCTTGTGATCGAGGGATAAGAACAGGAAATCATTTGCCTTTCTATTATGCTATTTCTCTGAAATATTAAGCTCCTGTGTAATGCCAGGCTCCACCGAAGTCAGAAATCAGAGACTAATTTCTGGGGGTGAAGGGGTGCCTGGGGGAAGGGGGAGAGTCCAAAGAGATCCCCCTCCCAAAGAACAGAAGGTGTCTTAAGGGCCTCGAGCTCCTACTGAGAGCAGAGGCCTCACCAAGATACTGCAGTGATGCTGAGCCCTGATCACACTCTTCCTAGGGTCTGGAGCCCTATTTGGGGCTTTTCTGATAAAGAGGAAGACCGAGCAAAAGGGCCCAAGGTGGTGATGAAAATAGCAGCAAGAAATGATGGCAGGTGGGTGCAGGCCAAAGGTCAGGAGGGTGTAGGCAGATGTGCAGCTTTGCTCAGGTTCCCCTCTCTGGCCCTCTGGAAGATGCAGGGGTTGGCGAGCTCTGGGTGGCCCCAGCCTTGCATTCAATGCTTGGGTTCAGTTGCACAGCTTGTGCCCTCTGCTCCGGTCAGGGCAGCTCCCTGCTGTCCTCTGCTCACACCTCTCCTTCCTGCCTGTGCTCCTGCCACCCACCATCTGCAGGGCCCTTCCTCCGTGTCCTGATCAATGTGTTCCCAGTGCGAGCTTCCTTTCTTCCATGAAGGCGGAACCACTGCACCTCCCGCAGCCTCTCTCTTCTCAGAGCTCTGTCACTGCACTGAATTGAGCTTCCCAACTGCGCTTTGGCCAGGAGAAAGCGCTTCTTGGGCCGGCCCGCTGGCGCACTGGATAGTGCGCCGCTTGGGAAGCGCGGCGGCGCTCCCGCCCGAGGGTTCGGATCCCACATACAGACCAGTTCCCGCTCACTGGCTGAGTGAGGCGCGGGAGCAGCACCGAGGGTTGCGATCCCGTTGCCGGTCCCTGGTCCGGTGCGGGGGCAACACTGAGGGTTGCGATCCGTTGCCGGACACGGAAAAAGACAAAAGACAAAAAAAAAAAAAAAAAAAAAAAAAAAG